CCTATTGCCAACTTTGTCCACACATCTACTCTAGTGACACCATCACAGGATCTTGTCACATAAGCTACACCAACAGAGGCTCTTTCACCTGCACATAAACAACTGTGAAATACGCTGTTATGTGCCAGCAATTCCCCTCTGCCATATATGTTAGCCAAACCAGATTGTCTCTACACAAAAGAATAAATTGTCACAAATCAGACTTCAAGAACTGTAACATTCAAAAACCAATAGGAAAGCAGTTCAATCTCTCTGGACATAGAGACTTAAATGTTGCCATACTTGAGCAAGGAAACTTCTATAACAGACTGCAGCATGAAACTGATGAACTGGAATCCTCCTTTTCCTTCTACACTTCAGAACTATTTGTTGGAGAATGATGAGTCCATTATTACTATTTATTGAAATCCCAGTCCCCACTGTGAATAGATTCAGAACATTATATCTGAATTATCTGTTAGTCTAGCTCTGAACAGTCATACCCAAAAGTAAACACCTTATTTTATACCAGTTCTAACAGAGTAGGTTAATCCAGTTTTACACCAATGCTACTCCTGATTTCTACCAATGCAACTGAGATCAGAATCAGGACCTAATTTGGTATTAGGAATTGCCATCACATTTATGTTATGGCACACATAAAACTAACTAAAGAAGTTGCCTGAAAAAAGCTAATCTTCAGATACAGAGAGCAAACAAACAAACAAACAAACAAAAAAGGAGACATTCAGTGAGTCCTCCACCTTGTGTAAAAGATGTGTGTGGTCAGACTAATCAACTACTATTGGATTAGAATTATCCTATCATGTCATCCTTATGCCACTGAACAAAGTCGACCATGCCATCCAAATATTCATTCACTCTTCCCCCCCCCAAAAAAAAGCCTACAAAATCTATATAGCCTCATTGTTTGTTTTGAAGGTTTTTGTTACATAAGTAAAGATTTTCTTGTTCCCTCCGTTTTTGTTCCCTCCAAGGGAAGTCTAGACTGCACAGCTATTCTGAGATAGCTTATTTCAAAATAGCACGTCGAACACTACAGGGAAGCCTCAAAATTAGTCCAAAGCAGGCTTCCCTAATGTGGTCATGCTATCTCGATTTAGAGCCCCAGGAGGCACTGGGGAGAAATAACTTAGAATGGCCCTGGTGAAGGGCTATTTGGAGATAACAGCGGTTGAGTGTGTACACACGCCTTATTTCAAAAGAGCTATTTTGGAATAGGCATTATTCCTCATAGAATGAGGTTTACAGATTTCAGAATAAGCCATTCATTATTTTGAAATTATTTCAAAATAATGGAATGGCTCAGTAGACTCTCGCATTTTTCAAAATAATGTTTGTTATCTCGAAATAACAGTGCAGTGTAGATGCACCCTAAGGTGCTACAGGTCTACTCATCCATTTGTCGTTTTTTAGGGTTTTTTTTTACAATTGCACTGTGATTCTGGAATGTTGTCTGCAATGATTCTCTCCATATAACGTTATTCATTAGTCTCTTAACAAGCACTCTTGCCAACATTAGCCTGACTTCAGCAAACCAGTAAGCATCAATTGAACTTAAACACCCCAGTAACTCCATCCTGGTCAGCAAAGTATTTGATTGTAAGCAGGTGGGTATTCTCGAAATTAAGTACATGCTGAAGTACTTTGATGAGCAGGAAGAGGACTGTTCATGTCATGTGCCTAAAGTTCACTATGACTGTGTCTAGACTGGCCAGTTTTTCTGGAAAATCAGCCGCTTTTCCGGAAAAATTTGCCAGCTGTCTACACTGGCTGCTTGAATTTCCACAAAAGCACTGACTTCCTACTGTAAGAAACCAGTGCTTTTTGCGGAAATACTATGCTGCTCCCATTCGGGCAAAAGTCCCTTTTGCGCAAAACTTTTGCGCAAAAGGGCCAGTGTAAACAGCTGAGATTTGTTTTCCGCAAAAAAGCCCCGATCGCGAAAATGGCGATCGGGGCTTTTTTGCACAAAAGCGCGTCTAGATTGGCCACGGATGCTTTTCCGCAAAAAGTGCTTTTGTGGAAAAGCTTCCGTGCCAATCTAGACGCTATGTTCCAAAAATGCTTTTAATGGAAAACTTTTCCATTAAAAGCATTTCCAGAAAATCATGCCAGTAGACATAGCTTATGTGTTTACGTGTTTTACTATTCCCAGGCTTCTGTATATTACAGTTTGTAATGCAGAATCATCTACAAGCCCAAAACACAATCAGAACCTTCTTTTTTGCTTGACAGTAAAAGTCTTTATCTGCCCCACAAAAAGCAAATCTAAAGAGACAAAAGAGAGAAAACGTTGTAGAAATATGATTATCCCACTATTTACAGAGAGGGAACTGAGTCACAGAGAGATTAAGTGACTTTCCTATAGTCATACTGTGTGTCTCTAGCAAACTGAAAATTTGAAGTTAGACCTTGTGAGTCCCAGGGCCATCCTTCCATTCTAGTGTTTTCAAAATCTATTTTAATAAGCTTGGATCAAAGAATCATAGAATCATAGAAGACTAGACTGGAAGGGACCTGAAGAGATCATCAAGTCTGGTCCCCTGCCCTCATGGCAGGACCAAGCACAGTCTATATCATCCCTGATAGATGTCTTTATAACCTGCTCTTGAATATCTTTTACCTGTTCAGTTCTATTTCCCAGATATTACAGAGAAATGAAATTAAATGGTCAGCCATTATGCATTCAAAGATTCCAGTAGGTTTTCCGTCTCACACAGACCTACCATTTTTCACTATTGCCAAAGCTTATTGAAATTCTTTGTGAGTAGGAAGATGGTTATTCTGCATTAGCTGGTGTTTCACACAAGCAAAAAGTGGATTTTTTTTCCCAATGACTATTTCATGATTAAGTTGGCTGTTGAAATGTTTATGCCATCAGTGCCTAATGGATACTTTGTCAGTAAGCAATTTTTTGTAGATTTGAATATTATGGGTAGATTAGTGATCAGAAAAGACACGTTTGTCCTTTCCAGGGAAAAAAAGGGTAGCCACTACCATGCTCAATGAGGATATCCTCTAGTGCTGTACCAGAGTATAATTTGCTTAAGTCCTGCAATGGCAGAGTTGTAGCAAGCAGGTGGAGCAGACCGTCATTCAAGCTTTTCTTTGTTTCCCAGCTTAACTTAATTTTAGTGTTAGAATGTTTCAAGAAGTAATGTAGTATTTAATTGATGTTATTCATAAATATTGGTATTCTGTTTTTCAGTCGTATGTTATTGTAGAGCTGGCTGGGAATTTTTAAAAAATTTTTATCAAAAATGCTGATTTGTAAAAAATGAAACTTTTCACAGTAAAGGATCAAGTTTTAATGACTTTCTTTACTTGGAAAAGCTGTTGAAATCATTTTGAAATTTAAGTTGTAGTGCACTTTAAAAAAAATCCAAAGTGAACATTTCACTTGACCAAAATTGACTTTTTCTGAGGGGAGAGAGGGAAGGAATTTTAGTTTGAAAAAAGTTTGCATTTTGTCCTTATTCAGGAAGAGAAAAAATGTCAAAATCTCAAAATTAGTCATGGGATGTAAAAACTAATTTATGCCAGCTCTAGTGTTGAGCTAATTTACTCGCAGTGTCTTGGCTAGAGTAAATAGAAACAATATTTCTTACATGTCATGTTTCATTGGAACATTAGGGTTCCAATCTACTGATAACTGTCTCTCCCTGCAGATTTCTCTATAAGATAAAGACCTAAGTAACAATATTTAAGTTCAGATAGGACTGTGTGAGGAAACAGCTTTTCAACAGCAGCCGTATTGGGCACAGATTGCTTGTTACAAAAGTTGTAAGTTTTTTAAGCTGAAGGGATATGAAGAAGTAAAATCTATTTGTCTGACCTTTTGCCCAACATAATGTACATAAGAACATAAGAACATAAGAACGGCCGTACTGGGTCAGACCAAAGGTCCATCTAGCCCAGTATCCTGTCTACCGACAGTGGCCAGCACCAGGTGCCCCAGAGAGGGTGGACCGAAGACAATGATCAAGCGATTTGTCTCCTGCCATCCCTCTCCAGCCTCTGACAAACGGAGGCCAAGGGCACCATTTTATCCCCTGGCTAATAGCCTTTTATGGACCTAACCTCCATGAAATTATCTAGCTTCTCTTTAAACTCTGTTATAGTCCTAGCCTTCACAGCCTCCTCTGGCAAGGAGTTCCACAGGTTGACTACACGCTGTGTGAAGAAGAACTTTCTTTTATTAGTTTTAAACCTGCTATTCATTAATTTCGTTTGGTGTCCTCTAGCTCTTGTATATGGGAACAAGTAAATAACTTTTCTTTATTCACCCTCTCCATACCACTCATGATTTTATATACCTCTATCATATCGCCCTCAGTCTCTTCTTCTAAACTGAAAAGTCCCAGACTCATTAGCCTCTCCTCATATGGGGCCCATTCCAAACCCCTAATCATTTTAGTTGTTCTTTTCTGTAACTTTCCTAATGCCAAAATATCTTTTTTGAGAGTAGTTCAAGTTTGTGATGGATTCTCCAATATTGAATTTTTTAAAATCAGGATTGGATGTGTTTCCTTTGTTCCAGGAATTATTTTGGGGAAGTTCTATACACTGTGATATACAGGTCAGAGTGGATGCTCACAATGATCCATTGAACAATTGACTTTTTAGCAAGCTGGCAGTTCCGAAATATAAGACAAAAATCATTTGTGTTTGTACCAAGCCCAGAATTTTTTTGCAAATAAAAAAAAGTCACAAAGGTTTTTAATTTTTGTTTCTGGGAAATTTTTAATCAAAGCACGGGAAAAGAAAGCTAGATTAAAAATAAGTAGGCTCAAGAAGTAGTGCTCCCAATAGTTTATTGGCTTTGGATACTGCAGTTTGGTATGGGATACTTTGCTCCGAATAGCCATTCTGGAGATTGACTTGAACGTAAGTCTGATCAAGATAGTTTGGGGCAGCTGTGCCCCAGAAAAGTGAAAAGCTTGATGGCTAGGGTACTTGCTGGGAAGGAGGAAATGTGGATTCATGTCCCTACTTACAGAACGTGGTTTTGAACTAAGGTCTCCCACATCTTAGTCAAGTCTCCTAGCTGTAGGTCCTCTTCTTTTGTGAATAGCACTTAGATCCTCTTGTGAATATAGCCTAAAAATAAAAAGGTTTCATTTGGACATTATTAAAAAATCCTGTTTTGTTCCAGTTGAAACTTTTTACCCCCAATGAACATAATTTCACAAAATAATTTGATTTATCTGAATCTGCAGGCTTTTAATGTGGAAGGGGATGTTAAACAAAACATTTTGCTTGAAAAATTGTCTGCTCTAAGTACAACATCAGCTTCTCAATTGCAATGTGGGTGTGTAGTGCAAGGCCAAATTTACTTCATTTGTCATTTCTGCCAGTCTTCCTCTGGTGCTGACAGCAGTAAGTTTTAAATTTTTAAAAGAATTATTTGGTCCTTTCCCCTGAACCTCCTCCTCAATCTCCCACTGCTAAAGTATAAACTAGCAGAAAGTTCATGTGATAGACTGGGAAATGTGTCTACTAGAGAAACATCATCTGAGCTCTAGGCCTGTCCACATACTGTACAGACTTTTTTCTCTTGGGCTCTGTCTAGACTGCACTATAAAATAAAAAAAAAAAGATACGTAATTTGCGGTACACAAATTTTATATCTTTTTTCAATTTATTTAGAAAGAGGCTATTTAGAAATTTGGTGTATCTACACGTTGCCATATTTCAAAATAATGTGCTCATTCAAACCATCCCTTATTCGCCATAGAATGAGGTTCATAGGAGTGGTGAAAGAGCGCATCTGCTATTTTGAAAACTTTTCCAAAGTAGCGGATGCATTCCTTGGATTCGGCATTGCTATTTCGGGATACTGACCTCTGCTGCAGTTGATGTGGAGTCTGCTCCCGAGTCCCACATATCACTCCTGTCATCACCTTCCTCTCATTCCACACTGAAACTTAGATTTTTCAGGTAACAGATGTCAGTAACACTGGCACTTCAAACTAACGTCACCACATTCCACTGAAATGGAGATTCTGGAAAGCAGGTGAACAGACAAACAGAGAAGGGGTTAAAGTAATATATTTGGATTGGCTAGCAACCTTCCAGACATGGGGGAATTGTTTCCCTTTCACTAGAGTCCTTCAGTCTCTTTGCATTATTTTTGGTGCCATATAACACTTTAAAAGCTCCCTGGTTGACGGATGTGGCCGGAGGCTGAGATCTGCTGAGAGAACCATAATGTAATGAATAAAGGATCCTCAGTAAAGGACAGTGGTATAGATGTTAAGTTGAATATGGGATGATTTTTAGCAGTCCTGGAGCTTTTTTTATATCACTATTTATTTTCACCTCTAATCTGGGACGGGATTTGGAGAGGACATATGCATTTCTATTTGGATGATCCCTGGTTTTTAAGATTTTGCTATTCAAACCAGGCAAAAACTCAGTAACCACAGAGCAAAAGAGACATGAGGCTGGCATCCCTAGAACTGAATAATTGATTAATGCTGTATATAGTATGTGCATTAACAAGGGAAGCACACAAAGCCATCTTAACTGTTAAATAAATAAAGCTGTTAAAAGAAATGAATTTTCTGTGTTTCAAAATTGAAAGCATGCAAGGAACTTTAGTATTATGCAGTCCTTTCTTATGGCTCGTGTCAATAGAAGGCAACAAATAATAAGTAGGTTGGATGTTTGAGAGGGTATTAAAGTTTGAGAGTCAATAGTTTTTCTTTGTGACCTAAAAATATTCATTAATGGAAACCAACAAAAGAAATGTTTTGCATACATTTTGAAAGTATTGTTATTGAAACCAACAGTTTGAGTCAGGCATGTGCCATTTTCCCCTGTTGCAAATACCTGTATCAAACTAGAATCCTTCCGAAAATAAGAATCAAGCAGACACATTAACTAAATACCTTCACACTGTACTTTATCACATTTTATTAATATCTGTGAATATTTGTATTCCTCTTTCTGAGGCACTGATTTTTTTAAGCACAAATCTTCACTGAAATCAGTTAAGGTTTCTACTTAAAAATCAATGGCACAGCATAGCAATTACAAAATGCCAAATTCCATGGTGATATAAATTGCATTTTTTTTTAAGATTCATAATTCTCAAAGAAGTATACAGCATGCTGTCCTAGAAGACCATTCATAGAACTGCTTTGCTGTCTATCAGGTCTCCACTGGAGTCTTTGTCTTTCTGGTACACGATATAAGTACACAATGGTTTCTGGTACAAGTTAGGCAGAAAACAACTATGTTTCCCTGAAATCTCCCATACAAAATACAATGATTTCTTTTGCTGATTATCAGCACACAATTAAGAAGGAGCAGTCATACAAGTGAAGGATAGAGAGATGCCAAACAGATATTTTTGGAGCCAATAAAATGTCAAGGGACTTGTCCTGACAACTACACCAGTATAATAGCATCATAATAGAAAAAAAAAAACATTTGATACCTGTCAATGCTTATCTTTGCAAGCTTAAAATTCACTTTCATGAACATTTGTTTAAGCATACTTCCGTTGCTTGAACATTAGTGGTAAAGACGGCTGTCAAATGATTAATCATATGATTAATCATGAAGTTAAACAATAATAAAATGCCATTAATTTAAATATTTTCTACATTTTCAAATATATTAATTTCAATTACAACACAGAGTGTAGTGCTCACTTTATATTTTTTATTACAAATAGTTGCACTGTAAGACCTAAAAGAAATTAAGGCTGTCTATTAGTCATAGTTAATTTACATGATCAATTAAAAAATGCACCTCAAATGAGAAAAAAATCACAACTAATCAGTTTTATTCACACTATAAAACAACAGAATAACAATTAAACTATATTAAGTATTTTCGATGTGTGTTTTTACATTTTCCATTATAATGCAGAATACAAAATGTACAGTGCTCAGTTTGCATATTTTAAAATTATAAATATTTGAACTGTAGAAATGATAGGATACAGTATTTTTTCAATGTATTTCAAAAAAGTTCTCATACTGTGATCTCTTAATGTGAAAGAGCAATTTAAAATATACATTACATATCTGTGCTGAAAACCAAAACAATATAAAACTTTAGCGCTTACAAGTCCACTTAGTCCTACTTCTGGTTCAGCCAATCACAAAGGCTATGTTTATACTGCATTCCTCTCTCGAAAGAGAAATGCAAATGAAGCAGATGAAAAATTCAAATGAAGCGCGGAGTTACAAATCTCGCACTTCATTTGCATAATTGTGTCCGAATGCTTTTTTGAAAAAGGGTTTTTAGAAAAAAAAAACACAGTCTAGATAGGGTTCTTTCAGAAAAAAAACCCCTTTTTTTTTAAAGAACCCCTACTGCTCATTTTTTTCAGACTGTGGGGTTTTTTTTTCCCCGAAAAACCCTTTTTCAAAGAAGTGCTTGGACGCAGTTATGCAAACGAAGTGCGAGATTTGTAAATCCGCACTTCATTTGAATATTCGATCTGCTTCATTTCTATTCCTCTTTCAAGAGAGGAATGCAGTCTGGACGAGCCCAAAGAGAAATAATTTTTTTTACATTTGCAGAAGATAATGGTGCCCGCTTCTCATTTACAGTGTCACCTAGAAGTGAGGTAGAAATGTAGCCGTGTTAGTCTGGTGCAGCTGAAACACAGTGCTATACAGTCCTGTTTTTTGTTTCACCTAGAAGTGAGAACAGGCATTCCCACAGAACTTTTATATCAGGCATTGAAAGATATTTACATAGCAGATATGCTAACCATTCTTATGCCCTTTAGCCACTATCTCTTAGGACATCCTTCCATGCTGTTCATGCTCATTACAAAATAACATGTTAACAAAATTTGTGACTCAACTCAGTTGTAGGACTCCTGCTCTGTTTTACCCATATTCTGCCATATATTTCATGTTATGGTAGTCTCAGATGACATACCAGCACATGTTGGTTATTTTAAGAACATTTTCATAACAGATTTGATAAAACACAAACAAGGTACCGATGTGAGATTACTAATGATATCTATAGCACTCAGCCCAATGTAGAAGCAAGGGCATCATTTTGGGAGCGTAGCGGGGGCAACAGCCATGCGCTCCAGTATACGCTAGCTTTTCATCCCGTGCACTCGATGCTAAAGGAGTGAGAGGAAAGTGCTTGCCTTCCATGCATTCTTCTCACATCGGGCTGGTGAAGGGAGCTCACCAGCCAGGTGTGAGAAGAATACATCGGGGGCAAGCACTTGCCTCTCACTCCATTAGTGTCTGGGGAACAGGATGAAAAGTAAGCCACAAACCAGAGTGCATGGCTACTGTCTCCCCTACGTGCCCGAAATTTCACACTTGGGTATAAGAACCTGAAATGTCTTCCAAAATCCGAGAAGGATGCCGTGAAGATCATTCTTTCAGAAGTCTTAAAAGAGGAACTCTCTGATTTGGAAACTACAGAACCTGAACCACCAAAAGAGAAAAATCAATATTCTGCTAATGGCATCTGACTCAGATGATGAAAATAAAGATGTGTTGGTCTGCGCTGCATTGGATCCCAATCAAGCAGAAACCAGATGCATGTCCTTTGGAAGAGTGGCTGAAACGTGAAGGGATGTGTGAATATTCAATGCATCTGGCATTTTGCGATGCTGGCTACAACAATGTCATACAAAGACCAATTTTTCAATTCACCTAATAGAAATACTGTAGTGAAATCTCTTTGTCATGAAAGTTGAACTTACAAATGTAGAATTATATACAAAAAATTGCATTAAAAATAAAACAATGTACAACTTTAGAACATACAATTCCATTCCAAGCTACTTCTTGTTCAGCCAATCAATCAAACAAGTTTGGTTATAATTTGCAGGAGATAATGCTGTTTTCTTCTTGTTTATAATGTCACCTGAAAGGAAACCATGTTGTTTACAGGTTCTGCTCAATAACAAACCAAAGTTGTGCAGAAAAATACATTTTCATCATCTGAGCAAGATGCCAGTAGCAGAAAGTTGATTTTCTTTTTGAGTGGTTTGGGTTCTCTAATTTCCACATTGGAGTCTTTATCTTTTAAGTCTTCTCAAAGCATGCTTCATATGCCATACCTTTTACATTTTGGACAGTACTTCAGATTCTTAAACCTTGGGTCAAGTGCTATATCTCTTTTTAGAAATATCACAATGGCACATTCTTTGTATTTTTTCAAATCTGCTGTAAGCGTGTTCTTAAAATGAACATGTTCTGGGGTCATCACCCGAGACTGCTAATATATGGCAGAATGTGACAAACACAGAGCAGGAGACATAGAATACTTTGCCAAGGAGTTCAGTCACAGATTTAATTAGAATGATGGCCAAAACATGAAGGGGCAAAGAAATATTTAGCATAGCTGATATGGAAATACCTTTCAATGCTAGCTACAAAAATGCCATGCAAACATCTGCTCTCAGGTGACATGGTAAATAAGAGTCAGGCAGCATTGTGTCCAATAAATTTAAACAAAATTTGTCTTAGCAATTGGCTGAACTAGAAATAGGACTGAGTGAACTTCTAGGCGGTAAAGATTTATATTAATTTTGTTTTTCATGCATTTATGTAAAATAGAAAAAATCCCCTACTTTTCTAAGTTATACTTTCATAATAAAGAGTTTGCACTAAAGTACCTGTATGAGGCTAATTGAAAAATATGTTCTTTTGTTTATATTATTTTTATTACAAATATTTGCATTGAAAAATGATAAAGTAAGCACTGTACACTCTGATTTGTATTACAACACAGAATACAATTTATTTGAAAAAATGTAGAAACATATAAATATTTAATAATTTTCAATTAGTATTTAACATTATGATTAATCAAAATTGATTATTTAATTGCAATTAATTTTAGTTAATCACATGACTGAATTGCAATTAATTGACAGCCCTACGAGAAGTCCAACACAATATGGCTGTAAATATAGCCAAAGCTAATTCATGTTTAAATTTGACTGTCTACATGTAGGCAGGTTGTTGTTATGTTTACGTAATTCAAAAATCTGGTGTTAGTGCATTGACTTACAGTGCTTTTTTTGTGGATTTTCACCCATTAAAACTGAGAACAACATTTCATATGATGAGATCTGAGTTCACCTACAGGAGAGGTGGTTGTTGAGGATTGTATGACATGAGTTTAAATGCACGAGTCTGATCCAGAGTCAACATAAGTAAGTGAGAATCTTTATTATGCTTTGCATCAGGCCGTAGGTAGGTGATGCGTGCTAATTGTCACTCTTTTCTATCACCACTGACTTTGGTTGTAGCTGTGGTCAGACTAGGCTGAGCTGATTTTTTTTTTAAAATATATTGGAACTGCTTATTTTACATCCTTCTACCAAAACCATTTTACTAACTATTGACAATGAATCAAAGAATTTCATAAATACAAAAACAAATAGAGAGAGGGAGGGAGAACATCTCTGTAATTACACTGTGGCTGAAAAATACAAAATTATATTGCACTGGAGTTCATAGAGTAATGCATTAATATGACTCATTGATTGTCGCGCACAGACGACAATATGATTTTTCATTGTTGGCATCTGATTGCTACAAGGGTCACTACAATTGTAGCACTTCCCTTGATATGATAGCTTGGTTTCAGTCACATAGTTAAGGTGCTGATTTTTTTTTTTTTTAATCTGCAGGTTTGGTATACATCAGAGTAAATGTGTCCTGCATTACAAATTTTTTTGTGCTGCGTTGCAGTTTTCTCAGTTGCCTACTCTTTTGCTGTTTTCCTTTACTACTGCATTATTGTGATTTATATTATGGTAGTAGCTAAGAACCTCAGATTAGTCCTGGACAGCAACATCCCTGCCATTTAACACTAGACTTGTCCTGAGAAGAGACTGCCAAATGTGACACATGCATTCTGAATCAGTGGTTTTATTTTATACCACTACATAGGCATAGCTTCCTTTTCATCTTTTTTAGTTCCTATAGAATTCACACACTTTCATCACTACGAAAATAAGGTTCAGTGCAAAGCTGTCTGTGTGCAGCTCCAGCTATGGTAAGCAAGGGGAAAGTTTCTAAGGCTATGTTTTGTGGTGGAGATAAAAAATAATACATCATCCCACCTCCTGATAATTTTGTTCACTATCCTTCAGTACTTTCTTCATGAAAGAAGAATAAAAGTATTTGAAACTACTGAAGAGTAACAAGTTTATTTGATAACTAGATAAAAAGAATACTTGTTTTCAGACAGACACAAAAATAATATATAAAACAGGATAAGAATGAATCATTCCTACCAGTACTGTACAATATCCTACAGCAAGTCAGTATTATCAGCAAAATAGTACTAGTTTTTAAAACTTTATTTCCTGATCCTTTCTCTCCGTCTCAAACTAACTGTGAGAATTTTGATGAACACTTTAATGTAATTTTATGTAATTTAATATTGGCATGTAAATCTCTTTTATAGGTCCCTTTAGATGGAATTTAATGCAGCAAAAATCTTGTCATCAGAAGGATTAATGTCTGCATTAGCATTTCTGCAATAAAATCTGAAGCTAAATCTTGGAGGCCACAGACAGCTCAAACTTGGATTCTACAGCTCTGCATTAAGTGCTGGAGTTTTTATTACTTGCTGTAGGAAAGCCTTTGCCAATGCTTACAAGGAACAGTTTATCCCTGCTTCTTTGGGTCCTGTTTGACGGAGGTCTCCTAACACCACTGCATCCACAACTACAGCAGACTTTAGAAGCAGAGCCAAGAGAAAATGTTGTCACAATGCCAGGGAGGAGGTCATCCTTCCAGAGGGTCAAACGAGGCTGGGTATGGAATCAGTTCTTTGTGCTGGAGGAATACATGGGCTCTGAACCCCAGTATGTGGGAAAGGTAAATTTTTCCTCTTTCTTTAAAAGCTGAATTGACAGCTAGATAGAAGTATAAGCTATAAATGTGTATATTTTAAGACAGCATGAATTTTTTCCATTCCCCTACCCTAACTTCCAAAAAGTTAACTTGAATCTTTTGGTGGTGTTATATTTCGTGTTTCTGATAGATCATATAAAATATGAATTTAAACACAGTTTTGCATTAAATTGAATCTCTGAAAGTTCCTCACTTTTCTGCATCTTAATAATAAATATCCCAAATTTGGTTTTCATACCTGTCACTGTATAAGCAAAGAAAACATTTAATCTTTAAATAAATACAATTTTTGTAATGTATAAGGATCTACAATTGAACTAAATTATCATAAGAAATTATCATTTGTTTCTGTGCAGTTATACTAACTTATATAAGTGGAAAATGAGACTGTTTTGGTTAGAATACTAGAGTATAAACAGATTTTTTTAATCGACAAGTTTGTAACTAATTATATTCACATTGGACTAATTTTCATATCTTTTGCTTTGGACATAAAATAGATGTGGGAATTCTGAACATTTTGGTGTAATATTATAACTAAACATAGTGCAGGTCATCATTGGCTATAAGATCAATCTCAGTGGTTGGATTTGAATCAGCTTTCATAGCAGAGGAGCAAGCATACTGCCCCTTCATCCACACTGAAGTACTGTATGTGTAAGCTAACATTTTTGTGACTGGTTATACATTAGGTTTTGACAAAAAACAGCTTTTGAGTTAAGGACAAAACATATTGGCTACATCTACACTGGCCCCTTTTCCGAAAGGGGCATGCTAATTTTAAACTTCGTAATAGGGAAATCAGCGGGTGATTTAAATATCCCCCGCGGGATTTAAATAAAGATGTCCACCGCTTTTTTCTGGCTTGTAGAAAAGCCAGAAAAGAGCGTCTAGACTATCCCCCCTATTCCGGAGGATCTCTTATTCCTATTTCAACATCTGTATGACGCATTTGAAATTAACCCAGTAATATTTTATCTAATTCACATTGTTCTCCTTTATTAAACATAAATTCTACTTTGACCATAGGACTTTACTCAGTGGAAGTAGAGGACAATTATTCATTCCTTGAATACCCAAAACTGCTACTGAAATGAGTGTTGCAATTTTGTTTGCAACAGAAATGCAGCATCATGCTTTGACACAGCTTATTACCACAGAGATTCTTTTCTATCTTTGTTTTAAATGTAAATGGTTCTGTCTATCTGCGGGATGAATACCACATTCTAACTGTAAGCTGAATAGTATTTAAAACAACTTCACCTCTCTACCATCTCTGCCACTAGTCAAGCCTCTCAGAACCAGGGAAGGAAGAGTAGAAGACCCAATAAAATCCACTATGGACTGTGCTTTGCCAGTCTAAAGTGAAGTGGGATAAAATATTATAGCTTTAGGCTTTAATAAAATCCTAAAATAGAGAGACATAACATTTTGAAATGCAAAGCATATTTATTGAGTAGAAAACACAAAGGCTGTGTCTACACTGGCATCCCTTCCGGAAAAGGGCTGCTAATGTAGCACTTTTGAATAGGCAAATCCGCGGGGGATTTAAATATTCCTACTTTCAAGGAATAAGAGATCCTCTGGAAAAGGCTTTATTTTCCGGAGAATCACGTCTAGACTGGCGCTTTTCTCCGGCTTATCTCCAAGCTGGAAAAAAACGGCAGCCATGTTAATGCAAATACCGCGGGGGATATTTAAATCCCCCGCGGATTTGCCTATTCCAAAGTGCTACATTAGCATTCCTTTTCCGGAAGGGATGCCAGTGTAGACACAGCCAAAAGGTATCATGAGACTATTTGCAAATCCTCATTGCATTGGCAGTGAGCAAGATTTGTGCATCTTTTATTGGTCAAACCAAAAAATCCATTTTAGGTCATGGCTAGGATTTATAGATTAAACCATTCCTGTCTTTATGTAACCCTTCTGCCATGTGGGGCCATCAGCAGCCAGAGCCAGGTTCAATATCTATTTCAGGGTTTTCTTTCCATTCACCCAACACAGAGCTGGCTCAAGCCCCCACCTAATAATTTGATAAATTCACTGGGCATCTCTGAGATGCAGTGCTTTCTCCCCCCCCAGAAAAAAAGTCTGAGAAACTATGAATTAAAATGGAAGAAGTGATGTGGCATTAATGTGGGAAAACACCACAAACAGAGTTCATAAACAAAAGCCTCAGTAAAAGTCCCAAACCAAGTAGGTTGAGTAGTGTCCCTTTCCTCTCCAGTTCTTACATCTGGAAATCTGAATGCCCTCTTCACATGCCCAACCCTTCTCTGTACCCCACTCACAATTGCTGCCTTTGGTCAGAGCAGACCCAGAATTCAGAGGTGTAAGCATGGATTTCACCTTCTAGCCTAAGTGAGGGAAGGTAAAGAGGCATCTTATTCACTCCACTGGTCACTCACCATCCACCTGCTCACTGGCCATTCATCTCATCTCTCTGATGCTGCCCTGCTGGTCATTCATTGCACCTTTTTGCCACCATCCTACTGGTTGCTAGTTGTGCTGCCTGCACTCTGCTGGCCACTTGTCACTTCTCTCTGTTGTTGGCTGCTCATCACACCTCTCTGCTGATATCCACTTCTTGGAGGTAATTTCTTCCCATCAATCTCAATTATTTCAGCTCCCAGAGATTTTAACTCTTAGCAAGCAGGGTAGAAGAAACACAACTCCCACACAATTGATATAAGAAAAGAGGCATCTAATGATACCTATGCAGCTCTGTTTTTTCATCTGTGTGTGTGTGTGGGGGGGGGGGAATAGGTCAAACCAGTCCAGACGGGGGAAGCTTTATATCCTCATAACCACAATAACCTTCTCTCACCTCTTACCCCTCATTGGCCTCTGGAAGTGGAGCCCCTGCATTAGCAAGAGTCTTTCTGCTAAATGCGAGCCCTTTAATGAGGAACAATTTAGAACAGTCATACTTTTCAATATTCCCACAAAATTGTAAACATTGGTAATCCTATTTTAGCTATCCCTGAATTTAATACAAACATAACTGGTGTTGGGTCTCAAATTAAGCAAAATAGGAGCAAACTGTATTTACATATGCACACCCAAGATCTCTTCCCACTGCTAGCTAGCTGTAAGGGATGCATTCATTCAGATCCTGCTTACATTTAATTCTGAAGACGTTTTTTAACTGATTCAAATTGATGAAAAGAGGAGCTCTTAATCACACCTAAGGGTATGGGTATAATTGCACTTTATGATAAATAATAACGATGCATCTTGCGTACTTAGTATACACTTCAAGGAAATATGCCTCTAGTGTGCCACTTGTATTGAAAAGATAAAAATCGAATATAAACAATATGCTTGTGGAACACAAAATGACTGAGAAATGGTAATGAATGCTTCGTTAATGTTAGAGTGGAAAACACAGATCTGTTTCCAGGACATGAAAACTGTTTCAGCCTATCATCTGTTCAAACAATGTAAGAGTCTACTTTATGCTTATTATCAATTACCTCTGTGCAGCAGAATTTTATCAGTCATAAGCATTTATCTTCAACAATCCACCTGAGATAATTGAATATGTTATTTTAACTGTTTTTTTCTTTGCTTGATTTCCCTGAAGAATTAAAAGGTTATAGTTGGAAACCATGTGTGTGTGCATACATATATCAAACCGAAAGTATCTGTGTAGCTAGGATAGAGCTGTTCTTTAACCTTTTGAATTACTAGCATGTATGCACACCCAGCTGGGAAGAGGGTATTCAGAGATGTTCTCAAACTTCATGATATGAAACCTCTAGTAGAAAGACAAGGTGGGTGAGGTAATATCTATTATTAGACCAACTTTTTATTGGTGAGAGAGATTTTAAGCCACACAAAGCTCTTCAGGTCAGAGGAAGGTACTCAATATCACAGCAAACTGCAACAGATTCATAGTATAAGTACTTGGCACATATTGTAAGAGACCATTCAAGTTAGAATGGCCTGATAGCACCTCTGCTTCCATAGGACAAAAAAGAGGGGGCTAGTGGGTTACAGATTCTATAATATGCCATAAATCCAGTGTTAATGTTCAGTCCATGATTTTTTGTATCTAGAAGAGTAATAAGTTTAAGCTCCTAGGCTCGTCTTTTGAAAGTGTTGTGCAGGATTTCTTTGAGGATGAGGACTCCGAGGTCAGATAGAGAGAGATCACTTTGCAGTTTTAATAATAAGTTATTCGGCATGGTTTGGCCCCATCACTAGGAACTCTCACACCCACTTCAACCACCTGGATGAAACTCCCACAGATTTCAATGGAAAAAACTCTTGTGCTGGAGGTGTGCAAACCACATCTCCAATTACAATTTAAATACTTAATCGGTGATGTACTTTCTTAGGTATCTGCCTCCTAGATAGAACTGGGATAATTGTTTGGTAGTTTAGATGCTTCTGTTCAATTAGAGCATGTCTACAGAGCAACCAGCCTGTGATTTGCTTCACATGCTAGCTATAATCTGGCTAGACTGTTAAAAAGAGATGTCACAGCAATGAGAGCCACACAAGCAAGTATATTCTATGACCGCACTGGGATTAGAACTCAGAAGCTCCTAACTCATGCTGCTATACTCAGGCCAGTTGACCTCTCCCACCATCCTTTAATAGTCAATAATGAAAAGTGGAGGCTTTTGAAAGTTTTGCATTCTGTTCATTGCATAAAGTGTGGGATACAAAACAGATTTGGCAGATCACAGGAGATTATGTGATGGAACTTTGTTAAGTGAAACTGTAGAAAAACTCCCGGTAGGAATTTAAATTTATTTTTTATGATACCCTTTGCAAGTTTATCTTTTGTATGAAGTTCATAAAGATGCAGTATCACCCGAATATACTGTAAAGACCCATGAGTTATACATAGACCTATTGTTGCTGCCCTGGTTCATCTAGTAGATTTGCTTCTTTGCATCAAGCAGTTTATGTGGAAAATTATAAACCAAGGTTTCTATCACAGCAACAATTTC